CTACCAACCTACACTCGTACAGCCTACACTGGTACCGAAATTCACGATTCACCTGTCATCAAAGACTCCCTGCCGTTTTAAAGTTCTCGTCTCGCCTACAGTAACAACAGGGTGTTAAACTCTGACAAGATTTCAGGGATTCTAATATCCACCTGTCGACCTGCTGCTTCTTCAATATTCAATTACACCAGATCTGGTTCCATCCCAGTATCTTCGTCTCCCTTCCCAATGTATTTAATCAAAAATCACCAAAATGTAATTTGGCAAAGCACATCCTATATAGTTCAATACACTAAGGGCATTTTCAAAATTGAAAAAAATGAAAATAAGGGAAGGCATCTTTAACAAAACCTTTGATAGAAATTTATTAACAAAAGAGTGATAAATTTATAAAACAAGTTCTCAGAACATTTGTAACAAAAACTGAGGCAAAATAATGAACACGTCTAACAAAAATTCTGAAAAACATGTTTTGAATTTAATAAAGTTTTAAACACCTCAAAGACTGTTTCAAAATAACGAGCTAATTTTTTTGCTGAAAGCTAATAAACAACAACATGAAAAATCTTATTTCACCAAGTTGTTTCAAAATAACGAAACCGTTTTCAATGAGAGAAAGTTATAATATTTAGAAAATGTTTGAAAATAAGGAAGACGGCTAATTAAAACTTGATGGAAAAGAAAACAATCAACCATGAGTTTAGTTTCAAAGCGTTAAATTGTTTTGCATCGGTAAATAGCGACCACCAGACAGCACAAACCGAACAAACCAGAAGTAAAATATTGCGCGGAATTCAGATGTAAGGGACCATAGTTTTTAACAGAACGCCTCTATTTTTTTTACAATAAGTGAAATCAAAATAATGGATTTAAACATTCGCAAACTGTAAATCAACAGTTTTTTTTATTTCATGTATGATTCATATTGTCGATTATTCCTTTTAATAGTTTAATTTTGAAAACTTTGGATCCATAATATTAACAGTAGGCGCCCTACTTGTTTTTTTTTCTTGTTTTTGTGCAATGATAACTTTGTTAACGGTTGTCCACAGAAAGAGTTGCTGTTGTACTTAAAACACCTAAAAGTTTTCTTACCAACTCACGGCACGACAAAACGTTTCATGAGCACTATCAAATCAAAATGAACTTGAAGAAAAAAAACAACAAAAACTCCTTCAGAAAGTTATCTAAGATTGTTTCAAAATAATGTTGAAGTTAATAGAGAAAAAAAGGTGTTAAATTGAATTAATAATATAAATATTTAATATATTATCGTTTTAGTAGAATAAACTAGTTTTAAAACATGTAAGGAAAAGGAAAGTTTAAAGACGATAAAAGAAAAGATATTAAATATTATTATGATAAATAATAAAGCAAGTATATAAAATCATAGAGATATTTATTATCAAAATAAACCTTGTAGACTCTCCAGAGCATAATAAACAATCTTAAAACTTATCAAATTTAAACACAATATTATATTTCTGGGGTATCAACACATAATTTATAATTTAATGTTAAAATAACCTGATTTAAATGGAGATCTAGAAGTTTTTCTCAATGTCTTACTCATCTATAGTTATCTTCTTATTTTCAAGCTTTTACGAACTTCGTGTTATACCTTGACTGCAAGAGTCGCCTTTCTTGTATTATGAAAGTTTGATCCATACAGCAATTTTAATGTATTACACGCTACCGAATACAGTCTTTAATTTTAGAAGCAGTCAAATTGTTTACAGCCTTTCTATCGATGGCACTTATTGGCTGTTTTCGGTAGAGTATAATCCAATCAAATCGCTTCACTTCCGTAATACAAGAAAGGTCACTATTCTATTGAGGTCAAAGTATAAGACGAAATTCGTAATTGCTTGACATTGTGAAGATATTGGTTACTTCACCCGTCATCCTTGATCTAACGAAATTTTCTGTGAGTTGCGATCAGTCGACATTTGGGTTTCTTAATCACAACCTAATAAGAACGACTTGAAAATCGAGATCAAATATATCTGTCATCACATTGGCACCTTACATCATCTTTAACCACAAGTTGCTTCTTAAAAGTGATACAGTTAGCTATTTTGAAACTGAGTTCGATAACCTGTTTTAACAAACAATTACGAGACATTATCGCTTTCAAAATCAAATAGCTGTCATGGCAGATTTCTGGCACTAATAACATATTATGCATACTTTTCATATTTCATCTTCTGTCTTGCTGTTCAACGTCTTCAAATTCTATTTACAACTCTGTTCTTTATTTGAAATATATTACTGATGTAAACTGTTTAAAAACGGACTTAGTAGGACTCCAGTTTTAAATATCAAATACATACTGCAACTAATTGTATGACCATAATTATGTGCATTATCATTCACTTTCAATTGTCTTATATTATATATTATTCTATATATAACATTATTTTATATCCAAAGAAAGCATTAGAGCCACTGTTATTTTCTTTAGAACAATTAGCCTTAATCATGTTATAACAACGCGATGAAAAGGAACTATGTACTTGCAGTCTGTTGCATAGTCTTAATATAATTTACACTCCTTGTACAAAGGTATTTAAACAACTGAGGAAAGCGGAAATTGCGGTAGGTGTAATGTACTTCATAACCAATCTTCCACAAGGCCTTCAAATAATATTGATGCCTTATGTTTAAACGGGGTGTTTTCTGGTATCTTTTTATTTGCATCAGGCCATTAACAGTTTACGCAAAATTCTCATTTCTCGACTAATGTATGTGGTTCCCTTAATTCCAGTTTAAATCGACATGAATATTGCAGATACCAAATGGGTTTAATGGGCCAGAAAAACTTTCAAATCGTCGTTCCTGGTCAAAGAGAACAAAGGTCATTTTATGTACAGAATTACAGCCAACCATTGTGGTTTGTAGGAAGAACGGCAGTTCACGTTCACCATTAACTCTAAGCCTTAGCTTGAAAGTCGATCAAAATTTCTGAAAAGTGAATTTTCAGATTTTTTGGCAAAATATACCTGGTACATATTTCCCATTCATCGTAGTAATTTACAATCAAATAGAAATTTACCAAAACTGCGAGAGATAAATCATAGTCAAATAGGTATTACTGTTATGAAATATTGGTTTTGAGGAGGCGTCAAATATCACCGTGACATTCCAAATAACAAACAATCCACCGTGAAAGTTCCGCTATAGCTCTGCGATCACGTGATCAGGTAATTCTGGAAGTTTAAACATCACAGGATGGTAGTTTGGTATTATAAAAGTTTCTTTTAAAAAACGCCCCCAAAAACGAAAACTATCAGCTCAGAAAGCTATCAGAATCCTCAAAGAAAACTGTCCAAGGATAGTGGCATATAATAATCAGGCAGAATTTACTAATAATGGTAGGCATGGATTTTCGCCCTCTTTAAGCTTAGAAAAATTACTAACGACAACGAACTCGTTGAGAAGAGAAGGTGATGAATTATTTGAAGATTTCAGTCTGGATGTTAAAGATTACAACTATTTAGAACCTGCAGTAAGCTGAACTCTTGTTGATTGAGACTTTCAAAAAGATAGGAAGCCGATTATACCATATTAGCTCATAAATTGCAATTTTTTTTAATTTGAAATTTTTGGTAGCATACATAATAATTATCACATGATAAAAATATCCCTCAAAATTTTGATTTCCAAATCTAACGTGTTTTGGGCGAAATTGATGATTTTTGTTGAGTTAGATACGAGTAATTCCGAACAAACCATGACTATAAGGTTCAGATTGTGCCCCTTGATTAGACCAATTATCACAAATCAGTCTCATTCGAGTTGAATTTTAACTCAGTATATAAAAACCAATAGTTGATTGGGTGGTCAGATTTTCAATCAATGATAGCTCAGTGTGGATATTCCAGTTCTAGTTGAGAGAACAACTCAACAAATCATCCTGGGTGATTATTAAAATCACGAATTCTAATCTAATTGGCCTTCCTACTATTCGCGAATAGAGAAGGCACGGTGTTCGATGCAGTGTACGGTAGGGGAATTTATTGACTTTTACTGTATCGATGTTCCCACACTATACGCCGAACCTCGTCTATTCCAACCTTAAGCCATATACCGGTATGAGTTTTAATCCTGTATTTGACAAACCTCATTAACTGCATTTCGGACGCTCTTGCAGTCAATCTGAAACGAATTGGGTAAGTGACCACTTGTCAGTACATTAGTAACAAGTGTCTAAGGTTGACTCTAAGACAGATGTATTTAGCAGTGTTAAGTATATTGAAGAGAAAACTGACAAAGATAAGTTTTAAACTAATTTCAACTGCCTAGTTAAAGTGATAAAACACGTGAACAATTCATCTACCATCCGACAACTCTATCTTACCATCTTGATTATAAATAGTTCTACTGAATAATCAGGTCTGGGGCAGATTTGAATTCCTGCCCGATCTATTGTCGCAGAAGCAGAACTTTAGGAATGCCAATGAAATATATAAAAATAAAACAATCTTATCACGAAACCTTCGAAATACAAATGTGAGGCAATAAATTTTATCTACTGGTGCTCTACAACACTTTGATTGAAGAAGGAAGTTACTGCCCTACATTCAAAAATCTTCTCATGCCTTTGTTCTCCCTTGCTTTATCTATATCTTTCCATATTTACTATTATTTTAAATAGTTTCACTGAATTATCGAGGTCTCCGTGGACGCACACCCACACCCAACCACCTTAATATGTATGGTTTTTAATATTTCTATATTGCTCTACAATATTCTATTATTGTATCATTAAACTATAAGGAACTTCAATAGAAATCCCAAACTCTGGCGTTAACCTTGTAAATGGTCAATTTTACTACTGGTTCCTAAACATTGAGTTCTGATTCAAAATCTTAAATCCTAATCTTCGAAGATAAACAGGAAACGAGAAAGATTAAAATTCAGACCAAATGGCTAATGACATTCAAATGGTCAAACATACATAAATCGGAAATGAAAACATGTAAATATCTATAAAGGATTCAGTACTTACCAATTGTTGTCATTACTGTAATGGCGTATAACAAAGCACTAGCAAAAGACCATTGTGCATCCGGCGTATCCCTGTCGTCATTTCCGTCCCATCCATTATCTTTAGTCTCTGTATGAATTTTGATTTGAAATTTTTGCAGTTCTACATCCACAGCATTAGTAAAATTCATTCGTCCCATTTTACTCATAGTCAATTCAAACGCATGTTGCATGAGTTTTCCCACAAGTTTGGACCGTTCCTCTCGAATGCCACTTTTCACAGAGGATTCGTAAGGTCCTTCGATTGCCTTAAACACAAATCCACCCATAATAGTATACGCAACAACTAAAGAGCACAATCCTATATGAGAAAACAAGAAAGCTACAAACTTTTTAAAAGCGTTCAAACACTTTTTACGCTTTTCGCGAATGGTGCTGTCCCGTCGGCGAGAAAGTCGTCCGAATTTTGAGATAGGGGGTAAAGGTTCTTCGCCCTGAATGGGCTGTAAGTTTATGGTATCAAATCGAAGATGCTTTTTTGGAAGATCGATTTTCTCATCTGGTTCGACAATATCGTCGTCTAAAATGTCAGTTTCTTTGATTTCAGCGAGTTTGCTTAGATTGATTTCGTTTTCGATAAAAATGAAAGTTTCATCATCAATAAGAGGAATACTGGGATCTATAGATTTATCAAGGTCGTCTAATTCTGGCTCTGAGTCCTCGGTTTTGACTTCCTTTTTGGAGAATCCACGAGAAAAGATTGACCATTTTTTCTTTTCTTTCTTTTTATCCCTCTTCTTCTCCTTCTTTTTCTTCTTTCTCTTTTCTTTGCCAGTCGTTTCTGTTGGTTCATCTTCCATAGGTTCCTCAGCACCAGGTTGGTCGTCTGGATCAGGTGCCTCTTCTGGTACATCTGAAAGGAGGGTTGTGTCTTGGACAGCCACTCCAGGTTCATTCGCGTCCTCTTCGTCAGCAACACGAATCTCCGGCAGGGGCAAAGAGGTTTTTACCTCTAACGTTTCTGGAACTTCTGCAGCTTGTCTTTGGAGACGTTCCTCCTCCTTTTGTTTCTCAACCGCCACTGCAAACGATTCCCGTCTTTTCGCCAACTCTCTCTCCTTCTTTTGTCTCTTTCTAGCTTTGATATATAGTTTGTAGGCTAGTTTTAGGTCCTCCTCGCTGGTCTGAGTGCTGATCTCAGCCAAACGACTGACTGGTTCCGAGCTTCCCTCCCTCTCTTTTTCTTTCTTGCTACGAAAGGAACGTTGTGAGTGTATGCGTGGTCGATTCAAATTATTCTTAGTCTTTTTGGAGGTTTCCCTGCTTAGGACGCCGCTATCCATGCTAATGTCCTCATCGTCATGCGTCTTCATATCAATGCCTTCATCTGGAGAGCTCGATTTGGTCATATTGTTTTCAATGGAAGATGATGATTCAATACTGCTGGAATTGGGATCAAGCAAGGCAACTCCTTCTGGAAGTTTAAGTCTCTCGTTACTCTTGCTGCTGAATGTACGTCTGTAGCGCTGCTGGACACTGGTACCCATTTGAGGAACGTTTTTGTATTCTATTTTTGATTCTGCTACTGGCGGAGGTAGACCACTGTTCGCGGAGCTGCTTCTCTTGAATAATCTAGGGGATTCTCGCTGTCTCTTAACCTCACCGTCACTCAACGACCGTTCTGTTCGTTTAGGTATTTGGAGATAAGGGTCATTTTCTTTGGAGTCTGGATTAGTGTCCGGTACCTTTAATATGGATACCCCAGGTGGTTTGAGCGTTACAGCGGCATTCAGGTCTTCGGTGGTTGATATGATATCTTTTGGATCAATTGGAATTAAGGTTGGTGCATCCTCTTCAATCTGCCCAGTCGCATCAGGAAGGAGGTCTTGTTCAATTTTTACGAATGGCTCCAAATCTTGTGGTATTGTTTTTGGAGCAGAACAATTATTTTGGGTATCCATCTGCTCACCTTTTAGAGCTTTACTGTCGTCTTTTGGAAGGTCTGGTTCGTTTTCGACCTTTTCTGGTGTTTTTTCCACAACAGGGTCTTCTTGTCTCGACTTGGCTTTGTTTTTCTTAGTCTTGGAACTTTTTTCCCTTTTGAGCTTATTTTTCTCCTTTCTCTCAGCCTCTTTCGCAGCTTTTCTTGCTTCCTTTTCAGCAAGTTTCGCCTCCTTTTTGGCTTCTTTGGCATCTTTCTCTGCTTGTTTGGCCTCTTTTGTTGCCTTTTGAGACTCTTTTGCAGCTTGTTTCGCCTCCTTTGCAGCCTTCTTTGCCCCTTTCTCAGCCTTTTTCGCCTCTTTTTCGGCTTGCCTCGACTGTTTGGCTTTCTTTGTTTCCTTTTCATTCAGCTTTGCTTCATAATCTGCCTCATACGCTTCAAGCTTGGCATGGGTGGCTTCTTCTTCAGCCTGTTTTGCCTCTTTATCGGCTTCTTTTGCATCTTTCAAAGCGAGATTTGCTTCTGCTTTCGCTTTAGCCACTTCTTTTTCTGCTAATTTGGCTTCTTTCTCAGCTTGCTTTGCCGCTTTCTCTGCCTTCTTCGCTTCTTTTTCGGCAAGTTTCGCTTCTTCGGTAATCTTTTTTGACTCTTTGTCTTTTTTCTTTTCAGCTTTCAGAATTTTATCATTATTCTTTCTTTTGAAAAATATGCCTTTCTTTGATTTTTGTTTTTTAGACTTGAAAGGTTGATCGGTCTCTGTGTCAGACAGGGGATCTTCTTCTTTTGCAAGTTTTGGAATTTGAGCTTCCTGCAAGACCTCAGCAGGATGGATTTCCTCCCTTTCTTCAAGTGGCATGCCTTCTAAATTCCCCTTTGGATTATTGTAATTCAACATTGGTTGATAAATAAGAGAAAAGTTCAGGGACTGAGCAGATGAAATTAGATCTTGGAGGTTTAATGGCTGAAGCTCTTCTTTGGAGGACTGTTTTGAGGCTTTACCCATAATCACCTCCAAGGGCTCAACTTGCATCCTTGGAAGTGTGGACGCTCTAGATGACGGTTTGTTCGAGAGAGTATTGATGGAGTCTTTGGAGTCGCTAATATCACGCTTTACTTGGTTTATTGCTAAATTGGATCGAAACCTTTCCGAGGACCTGGCCATTGGTGAAATATCGCGACTGTTTGCTATGCTTTCCTTGCGTCCTAGATATGTATTGGCTATAACATTGTCTATATGAGTATTGTTAGTAGTCGGCACTACTGACATTTTCCGACTAAGTTCTAAAAATCTTGAGCGAGATTCATCACGGTGTTTTTGGATTTTGCCATCCGGGCTCTTATAAGCGGAAGACGGATCTTTAGCGGTTTGATCGGAGTGTTCTGGCACAATAGTTGGTTCAGGTTTGGATTTCCCGGGTTTATTTTCTGTGAGAGTGTCAGTACATTCAAAGAAAATTTCAGAATTATCGTCCGATTCGCCATTATTGTCTTTTTTCGGATCTTGAGAATCAACATTACTGATAATTTCCACCCTACTAGGAGTAGAAGGTCCGTCGGAAGGTGAATATCCTCCATTACCGTTTATATCACAATGGATCAATAAAGTTCGATCTTCAAATTGATTTTCAGGGATATTTAATGATTTATGAATTTTCTGTTTCTTGGATCTTGGTAGGGTGAAACTCTTTTGGTTAGAAACGGGGGCACTGTCTACGTCATCTCCGACTGGTTGTATGATGGCGTTATCGTCAATAGAGTCTATATTGCTTACATCCGGAAGTGACGATGATAATGTATTATTTTGGTCGACTTGTTGCTTTATAGATGCTATCGTCGAAAACATAGAGCGTCTTTCTTCGATTGCGTCCTTTACAGTCATTCGCTTTAAACGACTGCGAGGTTGTTTTGTCGGACTGTAACGAACGTATGACACAAAGTCGTCCGAATAGGCAGTCACTTTATTAATGTCACCTGCACTACGCGAGGAATTGTCATTTTTATTTTTCATAATACCTTGAAGCTTGGGAACCTCAGTTGGTAAATCACTAGCACTCTTCCGTTCATCGTTCCGGACATCCGTTTCCGACCGACTCCGAACTCCACTCGTCGACCTACTCTTGCGTTTAAACAATCCGGAAAAACGACTTTTAGATCCACTTCTTGATCTTGATTTACGTGGCATGGAATGATATTTGTCGTCATTTCCGGCCAGTTTGCTGTCAAGGAAAGGGTCTGTTCCCTCCTGGTTGAGCTTTGAGTCCAAATCAGGAACAGACTGGGTCTTGGAATGTCTTTTCCTTCGAAACCTTCCACGCGACCTTTCCCGCCTTTTTACGACTTTCGAATCATTCGGCACCGACGTTTCCGCGGCAACCGGAGCTCTCCCACCCTCGGTTGATCGAGGGTTTTCCATCTTAGAAGCGCGAACCTACCTACTGTCTGAAAATATCCTTAGTCACTACGGATAATCCATTTTGCTAAATCAATTTATTCTTCCAATAACACACAGAATCCTGATATCCTTCGTCAAAAAACTCCATGTCGAATTTTTAACACTTTGAAGAAATCCTTCATTACTTTATGTTTATATATAAAACTACACGATATGCTAGCTAATTTATAAAAGGTAACTTTTCGTATTTATTTCACGTAACTATTACTATTATTCCAAACACATTTTGTAATCCACATTGAAATTAAAACAAAACACTAAAAACACTTTTGAAATATTTTGGCCACTTGTTAGTTATCTCGCTAAAATATCAAATACGACTTAAAAACTGAACGAGTGTATCCTAGCTAGAAAATACAGGTAAAGAAATATTCCAGTATTGCTGTAAGGTAGAAAGGTAAACTGTAAAGCAGAGGAAAAACTGTAGCAGACTTCGCCACTTTCACGCATAGTAGAATAAGTTATTGGCACCGTGTTCCAGGAACCACTATGGTGTAGTGTAACGTCATACGGTGTGTTATTGGTTCCATATACCCCGGTCTATACAACACTAATTTACCTTTTAGTTTTGGTACTGATTAATACTTTACAGAAAATGTTCAAATTTAAATAGTGAATTTTGTTCCTTTATTGCTGAAATTCTGTAGGTTGTTAAAATCTGGCCACGATAATGTCTGGAGTCATTTCAAAAAATGTATATGCTTTAACGTTTCGACTTATCTAATACAAATTTCTAAACTATTCATAAATCTATAAATATTTTGCTTCTAGAAATTAAACATGATAATGATGATATAGGTGAATCGAATAATCTACTACCGAAGTGAACTGGCATCAAAGGTATATTTTCCTCTGGTTAAATACTTTAATTCGCTCGAGTATAAATAAAAAGAATAGATATATTAGACTGACGTAAAAAAGAAAATAATTTCTTTTTTCCAGTCATCATTTGTTCACATACAAAGTCAAATTTAGGACCAGTAAATCGGACAAATTCAACGTCTTTATTTCACCCGTTTCTTTGTCAAGTTTTTGTTTTGACAAGTTTATAATTTGTCTTTTGACAGAGAAATTAGAGCAAGCACTATATCAATGTAAACTTCATACAAACTTCACTTATTTAATTCTTATGCTTCAAATGTTTTTCAGTGCATTATTTAGAAGTATGTACAATATTTTGAATCGCTTTTCTTTTGACATTGCTTTGTAACAAACAATTTTTTTTATTCTTTTTCCTTTTCCGTGTAGCCTATTTGGTATTATGTTGTCCACATTGTATTGTAAAGTACAATATTGCTCTGGTATATTATTTTCATTCTGGGTCTGTAAGTGTCTCTGAGTACACGTATATACCACATTATACTCTTTCTATTCAAAAATAAAGAATGAAATTGTTTACATAAAAAGACATATAGGAAATTAAAGTGAGTGTATGCGTCCATTTAATATGAATATTAAAAAAATATATATCTATATGATAGTCTAAAAGACGAGTTAAAACTGAATATTATAGCGAAAATATTTTTAAAAGGGATTACCAAATAAAACAATGATTCTCCCTCTATTAAGATTAATGTAGAAAACCATACTGCTGTATTATGCTGACGACTAGGCCTTTCTTAACCAATATCTAGACCCGATCTATATGATATTTATGCAAATCTTCTGTTTGATTTCCGTTTCTCGTTACAGTAAAGATTATCTGAAAAATAATAAACTTTGAGAAGATAAATAAATCATTGGAATGACAGCGATGACGGAATCGATGACGTGTTGGTGGTAAAATATGAAAAAGTAATGCTGATATTCTAAAGGGATATTGTCACCTAAATATTTACTATCATAAGATAGTTTTACTGGTTATAGAAGAAAAAATCTAACGTCCTGTGAAAACAAAATGATAAAACTGGAGGAAGTGACGACAGTTACGACGTTTGTAGTCCCCTATTTTCGTAATCACAATTTATTAAATTATTATGTCAAAGTATTATCATGAATTTTTGTCATTATATTGCAGACGAACTCAATTTCTTAAACTGATAAACTAAAAATGATCCGGATCAAACTCAGTTAATTAATTAACAGACATTAAACGATTACTTCCGTTTAGTCTATTGTGTTTTACTTCATGTCTACTGTGCTTCACTTCATATATACTTAAAGTCTGTTTTGTTTCAGTTCATGCATACTTCATGTCTATTGTGTTTCACTTCTTGTCTACTGTGCTTCACTTCATGTATACTTAATGTCTGTTTTGTTTCACTTCATGTCTATGTCATGTCTATTGTGTTTCACTTCATGTCTATTTTGTTTCATTTCATGTCTATTGTGCTTGATTTCGTGTTTATAGTGTTTCACTTCATGTATATTGTGTTTCACTTCATGTGTATTGTGTTTCACGTCTATTGTGTTTCACTTCATGTCTATTGTGTTTCATTTCATGTCGATTGCGTTTCACTTCATGTCTATTGTTTTTCACTTCATGTCTATTTTGTTTCATTTCATGTCTATTGTGCTTCACTTCGTGTCTATTGTGTTTCATTTCATGTCTACAGTATTTCACTTCGAGTATATTGCGTCACCTCGTTTCTATTGCGTTTCACTTCATGTCTATTGTGTTTCACATCATGTTTCATATCTGCTAAGCATATTTTATTGCATTATATGAGTTCAATCTGGCTGGTCTCTTTTTCTATCATCCTGTGGAAAATACATTTCACTCCTTTGAAATTTGTTACATTTTTCTTCAGTTTATAAGTTACTAAATGGCGTGAACCATATTTTCTTGCAAATTGGGAATTTAATTGATAACAGAATAACGAAATTAGCAGACACCACCTTCATGGTCACGTGCCTTACCTTAGATTATCCGGTCACTTCTATTGTTTGCCATTGATCTTTAAGACTGGTTGATCAGCGCTTAGTACTTTAAACGTCTGCTCTGCATTATCTCTTGGGGTTGGTTTCGTACAAAAATAAATCGCGAAAAGGAAATAGTAATCCAGAAGAATTTTTCTTGTACGAGCTAAACTTCGACTAATTCGAGATAATAGTGTGTTTTGAAGTTATCAAAACCTATCAGTCGGCTACACACATATACTAGACAATAGAATTTAACCGAAACGAAAATAAATTTGATTGAAATTCAATAAACATGATTCGAGTGCACTTTGTTTCATGTCTTAGTTCATCTCTTTGTTCAAATCAACTTCAATGATGTGGGATTTCCGTTTATTTATTCCAAGAATTAGTGGAACTTTATCTTAGCTTAGCTCATCGTTCGTTATCCAGGTGATTTATCTCAAGTAAGTCTCCTTATGTTAAAAAATGGGCGAAAAATTATTTGTAATAGACCTTTAATAAAAGACAAGATATATTCCCTATGATTAAAAATGCTGATATGCAATTTCCTAGTATGCAATATAAGATTGTTACCAACCCTTGTTATATGTAAATTTTGCATTTTGCAAAATAGATTGGTTGCAAACCATTTTGACATTTTGTACTCCATCTTAAGAAGGCTATTTGTTAGTTTCGCAAATCATAGGCGAAATGCAGAAATTAGTTTAAAGGACCTTTCCCCTTTTTAATGACATTATATAATACAGTAGTGATTTTATCTTATGTTGTCCTTGAAATTTTTTTCATGTCGGAGAATATAGGCTGACTGAATAGAACGACTTAAATTACTTATGTCCAACCAAACATTTTCCCCAAGAAATTAAAAATTATCCCTTTGGGAGAAATCACCCCTAGGTTGATAACCTCTGATATATACTCTCTCCAGTAGTTTTATTCTGGGCCCTCTTCTAAACCAAATGAAACTCGCGAAGTATAAAGACGTCATTTGAATCAAGGTTTTATTTTATTTAAGGAGAATAGTGTTTGAAACTAGAATCCTTTACGATCTACATTATAAAAACGGGAAATCAATAATTTTGACACTGTAATTTTCTGTTGAAGTAGACCTTCTCTTTTTAAATAGTTAGACGATAGTTTTCCTTGAATCTTAAAAAATGTAAAACCAGTTAATGAAGCTAGGTGTAAATAATTGAAACCGTTTTTGTTAATTAAGAAATAATATTTTCAACGTGATTTTAATTTCTATTGTGTTATATTAAGATTGTGTATAGGTAGTATGCTAAATATCTGATGAAAAATGGAAACATATCACTGGATCGATCCAGCGCATACAAAATAAGACCATGTAGCCTACATGGGTAAAATTATTTTGATGGTGTGTTGTCGTACGTTCCCTGTTCAAGAATGTTGAAAAATACTAGATACAGTCCAAAGATATTCTGTAAAAAAGGTTTTGAGACTAAGTCAGTGGCTATGCACATGGGGTTCATAAATCCGAAACCTGCCAATTAAATACATGTAATTAAGGGGAGGCAATCCTTTCAAATTCTTTGCACAGTGAGGTGTTTGTTGTATGCCTCCCTATCTCATAACTTTAACATAACGATTACTTAGTTCTTCAAAGTTGGATTTCGTTATTGTGGTAAACTATGCTTATCTGGAAACAGTTTCCCCAAAATTTAAATTCTATTGGATCAGGCCCGTAGTTACAGGGGGGGGGGGGGGGGGGGGGGACAATTCCCAACAGAAAAAAATGGATTGCCCCC